TCTTCTTTATGCACCAAGAGCTTGTAACACTCCAAAGAGAAAGGAAAAATTGAAATCGCATCTTATGACCCCTTTAATCCATGTTCCTCTCTCAAATGCCCTCTGTGCGTCCTCTGTGTAGAGTATTACCCCAGCTGTGAGGTGATGTTCATGGGAATGGCCAACATCCACTCCATCCGGAAGAGCTTCCAGAGTTTGCGGACGCTCTGCGCTCAAGTGCCGGATCCGGTCAAGTGAGTCGACCTGGAAACCACAGCAGCAGACTGCTTAAAGCTGAGAGTTAATTACTGAGCGCAGGTTTGGTTACAGAGACAGTGACAGTCTTGCTTTTATTTAGTGAAGCACGGATTTTGAAATTCTCGTAAATCAATAAACCAATAAATATTGTTATGCTATGGCTGATAACTAATTAATGTCTGATATTGTGAAGCTATACTGTTTCATATAAGTACAATTTATAAATATATGTATGTGTGTGTGTGTGTATCTAAACACACACACACGATTTATATAATTTATGTAGTTATTATACTTGATATAATACTAAGCAATACTGTTATATAAATAAAATATATTTTATATTGTCCTCATTTGTAAGTCGCTTTGGATAAAAGCGTCTGCTAAATGACTAAATGTAAATGTAATGTAAATATAAAACTGTAAAATACAATTCAAGGTGTATATACTGTATATATATATATATATATACACACACACAATTATATAATTATTTGATAATTATTATTATATAAAATAATATATCTTAAAAATGTCAGGCATTTACTTATATATTTGTTATTATTCATAATAACATATTAATAATATATTATACATTATATAATTACAATGATTGTTAATATTTAGTATTGGAATATATAGAGACATTTTTACATTTATATAACTGTATATCTATACAACTGAATATAATAATTATAATAAATATACTAATAAATGTCTTATGTTATTAAACTACTGTTTTATAGCTTAGAATCAGACATTAGTATATTTATTAGTATACTATTATAATTTTTTTTAAATTCTGTGAGTGTGTGCATATACACACAAAAAATTATTTCAGTCACATTAGTAAAGGTTAAGGTCACATTACTTTTTCAGTTAATAAATATACATACAGACGCTCATTTACAAGCACGGTTAAAGATAAAGTGGATCCTGTTCCTATGATGTTTAGTCTTTGCTTTAACCCCTACGTTAGTGCTAGGTTTTTAATTATTTAGCGAAAAGGAGCATTCCCTAATTAAATATTTGATATGACCAGTGCTTTGAAACACTAATATGGGCTGATAGCTGGTATGGTTGTGCATCCCTCTGCTGTTGTGTGATCAGCTGGCTGTCGGCGCTGGAAGGGACTAAATGGCTGCAGCATCTGTCTCTGCTGCTGAAGGCGTCTCTGCTGGTGGTGAACGCACTGGATCGGGACCACAGGCCTGTGCTGGTGCACTGCTCCGACGGATGGGACCGCACACCTCAGATAGTGGCTCTGTCCAAACTCATGCTGGATCCCTTCTACAGGACCATCCAGGTCTCTCACACACACACAGACACAGAGACACACACACACAGACACAGACACAGACACAGACACACACACAGACACAGACACAGACACACACACACACACACACACACAGACAGACA